AGGGCAAGGAGGGGCAGACTTGGAGGGACATGACTCACAAACTCGGGTCTGAGTGGCCTATGAGATCCCCATGGGGGATGCTGAAGATCTCAGCTGGATCCCAGATAAGACATTCTTCTTTTTCACTCATCTTTTCCTTTCCTGGGATCTGAGCTGCTCAGGGTCTTTTTGTCTCACCAGCCCTTCTGGGATTGCTGGAAGGGTGTGAGGTCAGAGCCTGCAGAGGGCAGGCTGCTGTAGATTCTGCTCAGTCCCCACCTTTAAAGGCTTCACTGGGAGGCTGGAATGACGGAAATCATTCCATTCCATTCCATTAGTTTTATTTAACTCAATCAGTACCTTCTGCCAGCCTACTCGGGATCCAGTGTGCACACTCAAGAAACCATCCCTCTGTCCTCATGGCGAATGTGATCGCTGGGGAAACAGAGTGCAAAATAAAATTTGACACTGTTACAGTTTAGATCTAAAATGTCACCCAGAAGTCTCATGTGTTCAGAGGTGGGACTCTGGGAAGTGGATTGGATTGGGAAGGTGATATACTGATCCACTGAGCCATTCGTGGCTGACTGTGCTGTTCGGCAGGGCCTAGTTGGAAGAGGTGGGTCATGAGGGTGGGACCTGGAAGGGTGTATGCTTGTCCCAGCTCCTCCTTCTCTCTCTGCTTCCTGATTGCCCTGAGGTGAGCAGCTTTTCTCTGACAGGCCCTTCCACCGTGATGTTCCTGCCTTGAAGTGAGCCGACCATGGACTGACACACCTGATCCACAAGCCAAATTAATTTTCTCCTCTCAGTTGCAAGTGTCGGCTATTTTGTCTTAGTGATGGGAGAGCTAACACAGACATTTTACAGAAGGGTATATGGAGTACCCTGGGAGAAGAAGCAAGGACATTCAAATTGAATTTCTTATTGTTTTTCAGAAGTGGAAACTGAAGCTCAGAGCAGAGAAGTAACTCTCCAGAGTTGTCACAGTGTTTAGGAGCAGAGGCAGGGCTGGAGCCCAGTCCCAAGGCCCACACTGACACCTCTGCTGGGGTTGTGCCAGGCCTCCCATGGGACCCATCTTTCCAGACACGGCAGGAGGTGTGGTAGCCAAGAACTCCGCCTCAAGTCACACAGGTCTGGGTTTGAAGCCTGGCTCCGCTTAGTGTTACTCTGGGCAAGTTATCAACCCCTAAGCTCCAGTTTCCTCTTTTCCAGAGTGAACAGGAGTTTCCCTAGAGCTAGTGGGACCTCCAGTGTCTGCCCTGGCTGAGGACGGGGCTCGGAAGTGGACAAAGCTAGGCTTTCTCTCCACTTCTCCCAGCACTCCTCCTGAAGGCTCTGACACTTGTGGCTGGATGCAGGGGCCTGCTTTCATGTTAGAAACAGCATCTGAGTGGGGCCCCTTGTGCACCTGACTTACTGAGGAAGGGATCCAGGAGAAATGCACAGGGAGTGTGGGACGCTGGACAGGGCTCAGGGGAGAGAGCAGAGGCATGATTCGAGCACACATGGTGGCATGGAGCGGGCTCCCACTAGAGGAAAGGGGCTATGCTCGCCCTCCACATTAAACTAGACGACATTCCCCTGTGTGGTCATGCCTGACTGCCCACAGAGGACCCCCCCACAGTGGGAGCAGCTGGCGCGAGCCTCCCCACAGCTGGTAGATGGGCATGCTGGCCTGGCCCCCAGGGCATCCCAGTTCTTCCTGCAGGCATCTCATCAATGCTCTCTAATCTCTTTTTATTAATGGAGAGAGGACAAGCTTGAATCAAAGCAATCTGACCTTGACTGAATACACACAAGAGGTGTATCGATTGCCTGCATTTTCATGGCAAATGACACTGCATTTTCACTTGATAGTAATATGAACATTAATTTTATATTTATTCGTTTTTCTGGTACTAGGGATCGAACTCAGGACCTTGGACTTGAGTGGCAGGCGCGGTGCCACTGAGCTACATTCCCGGCCCTTATATTCCATTTTTTGAGACAGGGTCTTGCTGTGTAGTTCAGGCTGGCCTCGAACTTGCAAGCCCCCTGCCTGAGCCTTCCCAGTGGAGGACTGTAGGCATGCACCATTATGAACATTAGTTTGAATACAACCGTATATCGAAAACTGAGAAAGCTGGAGTTCAAGGGAGACCGTGTTTGGAGATGGAGCAGGACTCGTCCAAAGCTCTGGGGGGTCTTGTCTTTCACCCTTGGTGACCCAGATTGACAGACAGTGTCAGGAGAAAGCACTGCATGATGAGGACCTGCTGTGGTGTCTGGTCTCAGGAAATCACTCGTGTCCTGGGTTCCAGGAGGCTCACACAGCAAATTAAACATTTGGACCAAGATGAGAGGACTTCATCGGTTGTAAGTGTCAGAAAGCTTGTTCACGAGAGGGAGCTTAGTGTGAAGTTCAGGGGTAGCCTCTGATTTCTCCACATAATCTTCATTCTCAGCTGGCTTTTCCAGGAGGCACTTCAGAAGCTGTGGGCCTCTATTAGCCTTTTATCTCACGAAAGACTTTTTCCTGGAAGTTTTGACTAAATTTCCAGAACTGGGCCTGGCAGCCCTCAGATAGATGGAAGATTGTCATTGGCCAGACTTTGGTCACGTGTCCACAGCTGGGTGGATAGTTCTGATTGGCCAGGCCTTGGTCACTTGCCCATAGGGGGATGGAAGGTTTTGATTGGCCGGGCCTTGGGCATGGGCCCACAGGTGGCCAAGATGTAGGAGGGGTGATGGATGGCAAAGCAGACAGAGTCTGCCTCTCCAAATGCTGTGGATTATATTGGGGTGGGTGGAGGGTGATACTCCTCAGTAGAGAACCCCTGTGCTGTCAGAAGAGGAAGGGATAGACGAGGAAGCCTGAGGTGACCTGCCCATTGAAATACTTTCTTTAAGGGTGTTTCTAGTTCCGCCTGGGACTACATCCTATGCTGACTCCAGGTGTTCTCGGAGGAGCCCTGCTTGCTTCTGGCAGCTCTCCACTCTGGAATTGCACCTCTTCCCTCCCTTAGCTGGGTTCAGAGCCTCTGTCCTTCCTGGTCCCCACCCCACCCTGGTTACTCCATCCACCCACCTGGAGGAGCCTACTCCTCCCCCTTCTGCCTGAATCTTCCTGCTAAGGAAACCCTCCCTCTGGCATTCAGAGCCAGGCCTCCTGTGAGCTGCCCCTCCTCTTCTCTCACTGGTGGGGCATCTGGGCTCCAGAGCCCAGTGTCTTCCTGTAGCGAGGGGGTCACCACCCTGGATAGGCTATGTGCAGTGAGGGCTATGGGTGGCTGCTCACAGCTAGTTCACAGCTCTTGCTGTCACGGAATGAGAAGCCTGTCACAGGGCACCCTCACTCTGCCCTCAGTTATTCCTCCTAATGTCCCTGATCTGTGGCCACATCAGAGCCCTCTCGTGCCCTACGCACGTGGGTTTCTCTCCACACTCACTCCTGCCCTTCCCTCTGCCCGTGGTACCTTCCCCTAGCCAGGACCCCAGGGCCAGCTCTTGTCCGGCTTCTCCTGGGAGCTGGGGCTTCATCCTTCTCTGAGTCAGCCCAGTGCCCCAGGGCATTTCTGTGGTGTGCATTTCTGGGGACCAGTCTCATCGCAGTGCACTTCCTGTGGACAGTCACATGTGCTGTTCATTGTGCTGTTCCGTCCTCACACACAGTAAAATGCTGAGTGGATGGACAGATAGACGGATGGACAGACGGACAGATGCCCATGCTTATCTGCTTGACATTCTTGTGCCCCAGGCGTGGTCCCCGTAGCAGTTCATTCAGTTGTAGCAGGTCAGAGGTGGGTGCACACACGGGGGAAGAGTGGGTGCAGAGGGTGTGCAGCTGGGGCCCGAGCGCAGCTCCTGGCCTGCCTCCTTGCCTGGCCCGCGTCCTGTGGGAAGGGAGAGACCCACCCAGCCCGGAGAGGAGTGTGGACGCGTCAGGGTGATTTAGCGAGAATTTCACAGCCTTATCTATTAATAATAAAAGTGAAGTTACATTAAAATGCAAGCATGTGTGGGTGGCCGGACACGTTAATGACCCTCGAGGAGTCAGATGTGGGTCCCTGTAATTGAGGCCCTTGATGGTGCTGGTAATAACACCCGTCTGTCTGGGGCTTCTTTCTTCTGAGGCTCTCAGAGCACTTTCTCCTCTCTGACCTCTCCCAGCTCCCCAGGGAAGTGGTCCTGTCACTGCCAGCCTCTCTGTGTGTCTGACTCACCACAGCCCTGGAGTGCGACTGACTGTCCTGGCTGGGGGGCCGCGTGCCTCTCTGCTCCCCAGCTCAGCCAGGAGCCCTGGTTTCCTAGGTGCCCAGGAGGGCCGAAAAGGGCACTGGGAGCCGCAGGGGCTGGGAGCTGAGCCCACCGGAGGGAGCGGAGGGTGGGGAAGACGCAGGATCCAGCTCAAAGGCGTCTCTTCGGAGATGCTGTCCTTGGTCGCCCCGACCTGGGAGGCTGGGAGGCCCTGTGCTCTCCTCTGGAAGCCCGTGTTAGTGCTAAGTGGCCCTGTGGCAGCTCCCAGGCAGGGTGTGAGTCTCAGCTGTCCCGTGTCCCCAGAGCGCGCCGGCCAGCACAGGGCTGGGGAGGGGCACAGAGAGGCTGGGCTTGGAAATGGGAAAGCCCAGGTTCAAGCCTCTACACAGCTTGTGGCCCAGGAAGCCCTGACCTCTCTGAGCACACCCTGGCCTCGTCCCAGAGCGGAGCCCAGAGCTCCCTGCCCCTGCGCGGTGGGGAGCTAACCGCCCTGTCACTCATTGCTTGGCACCAGTAGGTGCCGGTATTCATTTCCGGTGGCTAATTTTGGATTTGGTGGTTCCCAGCCTGGCTGCACATCAGACCTGCCCTTCTCAGGAACAGACTTGCTGGGAGCACCCCTGGGAAATTCTGACCCGAGGGCTGGGGTGCGGCCAAGTCACCTGCCTGTTAGGAGAGCACCCCGACTGTTCCCAGGGCAGGGGCCTCCATGCTTGTCAGATCGGGTGTATGACTGAACAGGCAATAGTCCGTAGGTCACTGATTTTCCTGGTTCCTAGGCTCCAGTGGACACTATGTCCAGAGGCCTCTTCTAGAGGAGACTGGGATCCGCACTGCAGCCAGGTCACCTGGAGAGGCCGGTGGAGTGGACGAAGGTCAGTGGATGCTGAGCTTCATTTGCTGCTTTTTGGGGGCGGATCCTCACTTGTTCTCCACATCTTCGCACTGCCAGGCACTTGCGGTGGGACCTTGTAAGGGCTGAAGAACCCACCAGGTCTTGCTGACTGTGAGCCAGAAGCTAGCAATGAGAAGTTTTTCTCTGCGGGCTATGATCCTGAAAGGAGTGTGGGGAAAGGAATGTGACCCAGGCCCGAGAGCAATAAATGGCCAGCAATGGATCTGGGAAGAGCCCTGTGTGCAGGGCCAGCCAGGAGTTAGGGTTGCTGTGTTGCTGAGCGAGGGTGTGGGCCTGAGGGAGATCTGGTCACAAACCAGGGAGCGGCATTAGTGAGATGCCCGCCTCATGCTGTTTCCTTTATTGTCACCCAACCTTAGGAGACTTCGCCTTGTCAGTAACCAGCACCCATAACAGCTACCATTATCTTTCAAATGAGGCAACTGAGGCTCAGAGCGGTGAGGGTCTTCAAAGTCACACAGCAATCCGCTGGTGCCAGAGTTGGGGCCCACACATCTGCCTCTGTCACCCTCTGTGGCAGGACAGTGCAGGGGAGCCCTGGGGTTTGCTCCAGTTCTCTCTGCGCTGGTCCCTGGGATCAGACCCTGCTCAGTGTTGGTGAAGACAGGGGTCAGCATATGGAGGAGCCAGAGGCCCCAGGTGGGAAGTGGAGCCGCTCCCCAAGTTCAGAGGGGAGTGTACACTGTTCCTGTAAGCAGTGCCTCGAGCAGGTGACCATTATTGCGACTACCCAGGGCCAGACAGGTCCTGAAGTCTCAAGGGCAGAGATTTCCAGACCTGCTGTTACTCAGGGGAAATTGAGGGCAGGATTGCACAAGGGCAAGCTCTTCCTGGGCCCAGAAAACAAGAAAGCCACCTTCTTTGCCATGTACCAGGAGTGACTCACTTTCTAAGAAGCCCAGCCAGGCCCCGGTTGGCTTGGGAACCAGCCCAGGGCTGAGTGGAGCAGGGAGGGCACGGAGCTGGGGCACAGCATCACCCCTGCCATCCCCTCCAGGGCTGGACAAGGCCCTTCACATGGCCCCTTCCCCAACGTCTGGGCACTGGGGCAGAGTACTGTGGCCGGGGCCAGAAATGAGGGGTGTGTGTGTGTGTGTGTGTGTGTGTATGTATGAATGCCGTGGGAGCCGGAGCAAGCTTTCCATTCCCCAAGCCCCTCTTTCCGCCCGGTACAGACAGGTCCCGGAGTCAGAGACTGGGTTTGTCTCAGCTCACACCATGTCCACCCATCCTCTGCCTGGGATCCCCGCCCCACGGCCAGCCCCAATCTCACACTTACAGAGCAGCCTCGGCAACTTGTTCTAACTTGTGTGAGTCTTCACTTCCTCATCTGAGCTATGGGACAGTGCTCCCTGCCCTCAGACTCATGAATGGCCAGGAGATGAATAGAAGCAGTGTGTTAGGGCCGGCCCTGCCCTGGGACCTGGTCAGCCACAGGCCTGCCATCCACCACTGGCCCTCCAGGCAGGCACTGGCTGTCCAGGGCCTCAGAGTGACCACCCACGAAGACAGCCCATCCAGGCACTGTAGGGATCAAATGAAAGAGCACTCCCCCCACACGGAAGGGAAGTGTTCATTGCCTCCTCTTTATTCCCGCACAATTTTGCCAAGAGGAGAGATGTGGATCTGAAGACGCCGATTATTCTGCAGATGGATCTTTTCTAGGTTCCCAGTTTACAAACCAGGGTCAGAAGTGCGTGGCCTTGCATGGGCTGCTGTGGGTGAGGCTGGCCGAATTGAGCGAGTGCCGTGCTGAGCAGCTCTAAATCTCGTCAAGTGCTCCGCCAAGGTCAGCTGTGTGGCCAGCTGTAAATAGCTCCCCTTTCTTCTGGTGAAGCCGCCCTAGCTGGTGCCATGGCTGGGATGGCCAAGGCTGGATGGCCTCACCCTGGAGTGACAGGCCGAGGAGGTCATAGTGCAGGGAGGTAGAGCAGCAGCAAATGGGCTCCTTACTGAGCCCCCAGAAATAGGCCAGGCTCAGGGAAGGTGTGAGAGAGGGCAGTCTATGGCTGTCAAGCCTAAGAAATGGGGCGCCCCGTCTCGTCCTGCTGAGGAAGCAGACAGGGACAGTGGCGAGGCCCCTGACTGTCCTGTCGTGGATGGGAACAGCTAGGAAACCACAGCCTGGGGGCAGCTAGACAGACTCTGCTCCTTCTATGGGGCAGCGAGACCAGGAGGAGCCCCATGGCCATGCCAGGCTGTGCTTCCTCACAGGGCCTCAGCGGGGATGGGTGGGACTCTGAGCCCCCGGGGTTTCTGTACCATGGAACCCATCCAGTCATGAACCCCATCTGGGGAGCCCCTCTGCCCCCTCCAGGAAGACAGCTCATTGCATGCTCAGGGAACACAGAAGGCAAAATGAGACTTGGAGAAGTTCATGGCAGACGACACGTGGGCGAGGCTTTTAGTGGAGATGAGGAGAAAGCAGTGCTCCCACTTCCCCCTCTCCCCCAGCCCCCACCCTGACCCACAGTGGCCCCTGGCTTCTCTGACAGCGTGGAACTGCTTTCTGTGCGGTCAGCATCGACCTTCAGCGCATCCAGTGGGTGCGTCCCAGCCCTCCTCCTCACCAGCGCGGCTCACCGACGCTCCGACCCTCCTCTCTTCTCTTCCTGCCTTGCTGGCTGTCCCTCCTCAGTTTCCTTGTGACTTCATCTGTCCCCGCTCCCTCTGTCTACTGGTCATCCACCCATCCATCCGTCTGTCCACCTGTTCATCCACCCTTCTGTCTATTTCTGTAGTTAAGGAGGTTTTGATGAAGACATTATTTCCCAAAGCATGGGAGGTCTAAGGAAATGAAAAACGAGTGTGCAGCACTAACATACAGGGAGCCAATTCCAGCCTGGCCTGAAGACCAAGTGGTTATCCGGTCCTAGAGAGCGAAGCTAGAAGAGCAGCCTCCTGGCAGAAGCTGTGCCTTCCGCAGAGCGACGCAGCTGGGGGCACATGCTCTGATGTGGTTCTCCTTCCCTCTGCTGCCACCACTGACCTGTGCCTCTTCCTTTTCCTTGGCATCCTTACCCCAGGATGCTGGCAGATGCTGCCCAGATTCTCTCCTGACCACCAGGACACCCAGCTGTCCACTTGCTGGACATCTCTACCTATCCCTCATGGGTCACAGACCCGACACCTGGATCTTGGACTTCCAGCTTCCAGAATGGTGGGAGCTCCAGTCTCTGCTCTTAGGCTACCCAGACTGGGGCACCGGGCTCTGACAGTTCTCATGAACCGATGCAAGGTGACACCAGGCTTGCTAGCTGCAGTGACCCCAGCCACAGCGTCTCAGGTCCATGGGGTCAGCCCATGTAGTGTACAGGAGTTCTGGATGGGGCAGGGTTCGGTGTGGGTCACCAGGAACACTGCACTTTGACTGGCCTGCATGATGGGCTGTGTGTGCCCCATCAGGGATGCCTCATGGCCCTGATACCCTGCATCCCCTCAGCTGGGTTTCCACACCTGCTCCTGCAGAGGGGCTGGCACAGTGACGTCACCAGCCCTTGCTACGAGTGCAGTGGAGCAGGGTCAGGGCAGAGTCACCCTCACCAACTGGAACTGAGAACTGAGAGGTGCAGGCGCTCCTAGAATTGCAAGGAGAACTTTCCAGAAAGCACTTTGGGACAGGGTTCTGGGAGGCCTGGCCCCAGCCCCGTCGGAATGTGACATACGCAGCAGGACAGGAAGTGAAAAGGGGACCTGAAAGATGTGTTTTCTCTTAGCAGGCAAAGGCGGCAACAGAGTAGAGGGTGCTGTCCAGGAGCTTCCGGAGTCTCAGTCCCCACCAGGCGGGGCTGGGAGGCTCCCAGCGGCCGTCTGGCCTGCAGATGCCACCATGGATACAGCAGATCAAATGATGCAAGCAGTTACTGCCCTTTTACAGTTCAAGTGACATCCAGGCCCGGTGAACGCCAAGACCTCTAGGAGTAGAAGCCAGCGTCTCTACACAGCAGCTGTCGCAGGAATTCAACAGTGAGCGCCCCACAGCAGGTCTGCTCAGGTTCCCTCTACTCTTGCCCCAACCCCAAGGTGTCTGTGTGTGCGATCACCACAGCCAGCCCTACGCTCCATTTTACAAATGGAGAAACAGATCCAGAGCAGGGTGTGAGCCCTCCAATTTCACACCAGCAACTGGTTGACCCCTGAGGAGACTCCAGGCCACCTGACATGCAGTCACACCTTCCACACCTCTGGTTGTCTCCTTGTTTGGTGGCCTGGTGGGAGGGCAGAAGAGCCAGGGGGCATGGCTGTTCAGCTTTGATTGATAGCAACCATCAGTAATCTGTTAGATAGCCACAAACTATCATGGGCTTCACACTGAAACCTCATATCAACTCTGGAAGTAAATTGTCTCATTTGTCATAACAGGACTCTGAGTCTCTGAAAGGCTAAGACTTGCCTGAGGTCCCCAGGCTGGGACACCATGGAGCTGGGAGGACTTGAATAGTAGTCCACATGCTCTTGGCCCATGGCTTCACTGTAGGTCTCTTGCAAGCACCAGGCTATGGGACATGCTTTTGGAAGTTCTGGAAGCGACTCCCGGTGGCCAAGCGGTGTCCACTGTGGTTGAGGGTGGGTCAGGGAAGGGTTCAGGTTGTTGAGAGTCCTGTGGGCCTCAGGACAGAGGGGTGACTGACCTGATTCTCCTGCCTGGGCTGCCCACCCTGACCCTCTCAGACATTCCTCATCGTAGGTGAAATGGGGTATTCCCAGAGGAGTGGGGTGTGGTCAGGGCGCAGGGAAGACAAAGGATTTATAAGCTAGAGACCCCCAGCATGCCTGTCACGACCCGGCCCAGGGTGCTCTTCACCCCGAGATGATCGTGCACATGGGGGTCTCCCTCCTTCCTCCCTTTGCTGACACCCTGCTTGCTCCCTGTCCCAGTTTTTGCTACCTCTGTGTCATCTGGGAGGGGTTTAACTCTAGTGAGGCACCCAGAGTACGTGGTACGGAATGAGGAATGTACACCGAAGGGGCCGTTTCTTCTTCCTGGGATCAGACTGCTGGGATTTCAGTCTTGGCTTCACACTTATTATGTGACTTGGACAAATTATTTAACCTCTCTGGCTCTCAGTTTCTACATGTAAAGCGGCACGGGCAATCATCTTTATTTCATGGTCTGTTATTGGAATTCGTCTATCACCCATCAAGTCCTTGGTGCAATATCCTGCACTGTGTCTAATACAGCAGCCACTGGTCACATGTGGCTATTTAGAGTCACCGCAGTTAACTAAAATTAAGAATTCATGTCTCCATCACACAGGCATATTTCAAGAGCCAGTGACTTCTACATTCCATCCACATGCAGCCCATTTCTGTCTCATGGGGAGTGTTAGACCACAACAAGGCTCTGCAGTGCTGGCCCGTCCTGCAGGTGCTGCTATTCCTGTGTTCTGTCCGCTCCTGCGTGATAGCAGGACTGTTCTCTAAAGCTGTGGGCAAAGCTGAACCTGTACTTCACATTTGCCCCCGTCTGGGATGTTGTCTCCCAACTTTCCTCTGGGGACGTTCTACCTGTGCCAGGACTGGGAGTCAGGCTTCAAAGGCCACCACAAGGGAGACTCCAGCATGACAGCTGCTCCTCTCCAAATCTTGGCTGTATTTGAAGGCCAGAACCAGACTTTCTTCATCCTCTTGTCCCCAGTGCCTGGCATTTCGCAAACCCTCAAAGTAAGTTTTGGGGAATGAAGGCTTCCAAAGTTCAAAGACAACATTCTTGCTCTGCTGTGACCACATCACAGAGTTTCTAATGCCAGACAGCTTGCAGTATGCAAGAAACATCGGCCAGAACAGGCCTACCAGGGCAGCAGGAGACAAGCCCGAGAGAGCTGGTGGGAGGACAGCCTGCAGGGAAGAGGGCAGGCGAGTGGGTGTCGTGGACTCGAGTGGGAGCACTGTCTGGTGGGGGAGACATCCCCAGGCCGCCTCGAGTCTGGAAGGAGGGCTGAGGCTCTGGGGCACTCATGGTTCCTGTGACAGAATCCCTGCATGTCCCCGTTCGTCCTCGGGAGATGAAAGTTAACCAGAAATGGAGCCTCTGGTCTGTAGCTGTGAAGACTGCACGTGGACTTCCCTGTCCCTGGGGTTATTTCTTTGGGGGTGTGTTTTCATGACAAACTCCATCTCATTTCAAGGAAAAGTGGCTGCTTCCTGAACGCAGACAGCCAAGGCAAACTGTCAGACTAACTTCAGTTTGTCTTTGTCGGCTTGGGGCGCAGTGACAGATCCACAGTGGGGTGTCTGAAACGAGAGACTTGCACGTTCCGTTTTTCTAAGCCTGTGATGTCCGAGGTCAAGGCCCCGGCTGGCTGAGATGGGTCCTGGGGTGGGGCCCCCCTGGCTGGCAGAAGGCGCCTCCAGCCTTGCCCTCCCGTGGTGGGAAGGGGGAGCTCTGTCTCCTCTTCTTACAAGGGTGTGAATCCCGACACGAAGGGGGCACCTCATGACCTCATCTGACCCCAGTACACCCCAGAGACCCCCCGTGTCATCCCCCTGGGGTTAGGGACTCACTGTGTGAACGTTCAGAGAACAGAAGCATTTGATCCACAGCAAGGCAGTCAGCTGCTATCTCCCTTACTCCATCCTATATATTTGGGGATCCGGCAAGGGGAGAGGTGGCCTTTGTCTCCTGGAAGCACTGAGCACCCCATGGGCTCAAGACCTCGCATGTTTGTCTCTGCCCCACCTTCCCTGGTTCCCCCTGGCCCTCCCTGGCTGTTCTCCTTTGACCTCAGTGTAGACCCAGCTCTGCCTTAGGGCTCTGGGATGGGGAGTCGCTCTGGGCCTTTCTTGCTCCCTTACCCCAGCCTCCCCTACTCACTCCGTCCTCCTAGCTGGGCTTTCCAGGGCCTCCGGGACTCAGCACCTGTTTGTTCCATTTCCTGCCTTGTCACCCCCTGGCCGCCCTGCTCCTCTGTGAGGCCTCAGCTTAGCTGTCCCTTCTCTGAGCCTGTCCCCAGCCCCACCCCAGGCCCCAGTTAGGCACAGCTTTGTCCTCCCAGAGCACTGTCCTGCACCTGCCACCGGTCACCTGTCACTTGGATGCCTCAGCCAGGATCTGCCAGGGCTCCCATCTGCCCAGGCTGTGCTCTGTGGCCTGGAAGGCCATGACTACCTTGCTCATGACTGTGCTCAGCGTGGCCCCTGATGGAGAGGCGCCTGGAATATTTCAGGAGTGAGTCAAGAGGCTGTCCAGCCGGGCTCAGGTGACGGCCCGGCAGTCTTGACAGTGCTTCTTTAGCTGAATGTTGAGAGTGACCAACTCCTTGCAGAAGTTTTCTCATTTGCTGGTCTAGAGAGGCCAGAATAAAATGGCATTGTGTTCTTCTGTATTATGGGTAGGGTTCACTATTGTGGACTTGCGAACCAGGCTGTCCGGATTTGAATCTCAGCCCCACCACTCAGCCACTGCGTGACTTTGGGCACCTCAAGACAAAGGGAAAGTTTATTGTTGGTGTGTGCCTGTCCTCTGTCCCTACCCACTTCCCACCTTCTGTGGTGTTTTGTCACGCAAAGTTTTCTCTTCTCCTTTGCCATCTCACAATAATTCTCTTCTATCTGCTATGCAGTGGTTCTTTTTTTTTAAATTAAATTCTTTTATTGGTACATTGTAGGTATACAACACAATTACATTTCTCGTTGGGAATTGTACCTTTACATAATGCATCTTGGTTCTTATTTTTTCCCCATCCCTAGCCCTCCCTTCACACCCTCCACCCTTCCCTATTTAC